TTCTGCCTAGTCCGCCATCTTGCCCCGCCTCTCGACTTGAGCACTTATTGATGAAGATCAAAGAGTACAGCCTTTAGTATGATTACACTTCAACATAAAAACAATAAAAATCCTCGTAAATGAAGCAATAAGCAACATCAATAAGCAGAGAAAATATTGACGTTTTCAAGGATTTCATTTTACTTGAATGCATAATCAATGCTCATGGAAATGGTCATCAAAAATCAAATTATATATTTAGTTGGGAAAATCAGCTGCAAAAGACTTCTTTAAAATCTGAAAAGACAAAGATGTCATTTTGAAGACTAAGCTGCACTTTCACAAGCCACAGTATTTTTAATTACCTCACATGCATGCAAAAGCTGGACAGTAAATAAGGAAAACTGAATAATAATTGATCCATTTGAATTATGGTATTGGCAAATAACATTAAATATACCATGGAAGACCAGAAGAATGAACAAATATGCATTTGACTGCTAACCAGAAGGCTGGAGGTTCAAACCCACTAGCCACTCTTCAGAAGGAAGCTTGTGCAATCTACTACTGCAGTGATACCACCTTGGAAACCTAAAGAAGGGTCGCTTTGAGGCACGTCTGATTCAATGGCACATAACAACAACAACAACATCTTGTATGGAATACAGCCAGAATTCTCCTTAGCTGAGAGACAGATAAGACTTTGTTTCATGTACTTTTGGACATATTATCAGGAGGGACCAGGCCCTGGAGAAGGACATCATACTTAGTAAAGTAGAGGGTAAGTGAAAAATAAGAAGACCCTAAATGATATGGATTGGCACAGAGGTTGCAACAATGGGCTCAAATACAACATTGATAATGAGGATCATGCAGGACTTGGGACTGTTTTTGTTTTGTTGTACATAGTGTCGCTAGAGTTGGAACTGACTTAACAGCACCTTATACACACACACACACACACACACACACACATATGGTGCTCTGGTCGCATAGTGGTTAAGTCATTTGGCTGCTGTGCTGGTTGGAGCTGTTTGTCAACTTGGCTGGACCACAATTCTTTGTGGTTTAAGTAGTTGTGATGTGGATTGTTCCAGTGATGAGATCAGATAGATATGTTTTGAGCAGCCAATCCACTGGAAGGGAGTGTCCCTAGGGGTGTGGCCTGCTTCCAGTATATTTATGGACATCTTGGGAAAAGAGACACTCTTCTGTGGATCGGGATCCTGTTGTGCTGCCTACAACTGTTCATGAGTGAACAATCCACCATTCAGCTTGGAGATCTTGGATTCGTCATTCGTTGAAGTCAACCACCAGTATACTGCCTGTCAACCTTGAGCTCGTCAGCCCCTGCAGCTGCTTGAGTTGAGAAAAGCCTCCAGCTTGATGTTTGATCCAAGAACTTGGGACTTGACAGCTTCTATACGTGAGCAATTTTCCTAAGATACATTTTTCTTTCTCTCTCTATATATATAAGCTTTACTGCTTTTGCTTCTCTAGATAACCCAGTCTAACACAGCTGCTAACCAAAAGTTTGGTTGTTCAAACCCAACAGCTGTTCCATGGAAGAAAATTTGGGTGGTCTGCTCTCATAAAGATGTACAGCCTTGGAAACGCAATGGGGGTAACTGTAAGTCAGAATGGACTCGATGGCACTGATTTTCTGGGTTTTGGTATACATATATCACTAAAAAAAAAAAAAAAAAAAAACCTCACTGCCATTGAGTCCATTCAGATTTACAGGACTCCCATTGGGTTTTCAGGCTGTAAATCTCTATGGAAGTTGAATTCTAAAGCCAAAAAACAAACTCACTGCCATCAAGTCAATTCTAAGACATAGTGACCCTCTTTGGGTTTCTGAGAAGGTAAATCTTTATGGTAGTAGATGGCCCAGTCTTCCTTCTGCAGAGAGACTTTTAAAATCACTGGTTTTAACAGCAGTATACTCGGTAATACATTTATATTTCCATCTTCAGCAGTATCACATAAAATGTTTAAAGGAAGAATTGTTGTGGATTAAAAGATGAAATGCCAATAAGGAAGTGAGGAAAAAAACTCAAAGGACATGACCAGATATTTACTGCTATTTAGAATACTTCTTTGGTGGTGGAGTGGTCAAAGCATGTGGCTGCTAACTAAAAGATCAGCTATTCTAACCCATCATGTATCTGAAGAGGAAAGATAAGGCAGTCTGATTCTGTAAAGATTTAGAGCCTTGGGAATCCTATGGAGCAGTTCTGCTCTGTCCTGTATGGTCACTATGAGTCAGAATCCACATGATAGCAGTGGTTATCATAGAGCAGCAGCAGAGCAGTTCATGAAACTTGAATTTATCCATTATCCTTATATGTTTAATACATAGAATATATATTCTAGTTTTTGTGTGCTGCTCCCCACCCCAGGAAGTGTAAAAATAATCAAGGGATATTGCATTTCAATAATTCTTTGGATTGGGTTAAGATGTTTGTTCTGGATTAAATTATGTTTCCAAAAATATGTTTTGAAATCCTAGGCCTTATACCTTTCCGAGGAGTCCCTTAGTAGTGCAAATGTTTTTTTTTGGCCACTAACTGAAAAGTTTGTGTTTCAAGTACTCAGAAGTGCCTTAGAAGAAAGACCTTGCAATACACTTCCAAAAGCATTGACCACTGAAAACCCTATGTTACACAGTTATATTTTGAGATACATGGGGTTAAATTAAGTGGGAATGAAATCAACATTTGTTGCTTTGGTAGCTGTATCACTGCAACAGGGGTTTCCTTTTGTTATGTTAATTATGTCATTCCAATGTAGAAAGGGCCCTAAACCTGATCACTTCTGAGTTTTAAAAATTGCAGAATAGACCCAGAAGCATACACAGAGTGAAGAAGAAGACAGATGACAAAGAAAGAGATATCTTCAAGGATTGCTGGTGGCTACTAGAACCTGAGATAGACAAAGGAACACCTTCTCTTGAACTATATGACTGTTCTTTTAAGCCACCACTCAAACTATTTCTTGTGTCATAGAACAAGGACACTAAGATTGTATGTTGAAATTAATGGGAAATTTTGATACACTACATTAGAGATGCTGAATAAAGAGCAAAGCCCAGTCCTGTTAACTTTATTCAGTTATAATGTGCAATAATCCACTATTTAGCTCCCTGGTATAATCCAGGAAAAAAACACCAGTCTCCCACCAAAAAATGAAAAATAAAATGATAAATTATATCTTATTTGTTGAACATAAGAAGATGTTAAACAGTTAACAAGTAAATTAATTACTTTTAATCACAGAAATAATTAAACTCCAGAAAAAATCTGACTTATAATTGAAAATAAGTGATGAACAAGAAGGATATGAAGAAAAAAATGAATTTAATAATTAAGAAATTTCATTCTAACAAGTAGGTATAATGTGGACACAAATGTCACCTATGGCAGAGTAGTGACATCCTGCAGCTGTGAAATAGAAAATTTCAGATGGGGTTGGCAACACAGCAAAAGATGATGTTAGGCTTGAGCAAGACCATTTCAATGGGTAAGAATCAGATTTTTGGAGCCCAATAAAAGTAACAATAGAAGACTGTTATTAACAACATGGAGACATATCACTTACAAAAGTACATACATGTTACTGTGTCAGCAATTTGAATTAAAATATTTAAACTTAATAAAATTGAGTCTATCTACCTGAACCTGATAAAGTTTCTACCTTTATAAGAGTGAGCTCATATATGGTAAATTATAGTTTTCAATTTAAAGTTGAATCTGGAATTTTGACCAGATTGTACACAGTCAGGATGCAAACAATCTGAAAATACCTATCTTTGTTAATTCATTTAAATTTAGCAAGATGGAAATGTTCTGTATGCACAGTACAGTATAAGAATCTTCTAACTCTAGGACTTCCAGTAAGATGGAGGAATAGGCAGACAAGCGACACAGACCCTCTTCAACAAAGGAAAGAAAAACGAATTGACAGAGATACAGAAGATAATCATGGAGCCCTGAGATTTGGAAGAAACTATACAGAAGTGGATTAGCCACCAACTGGTGGGAAAACATGAACAAAACCAGTGAGTACAGAGTCAGTTTGCACTGTGGACTGTCAGCTACTCTGATGGGACCAACAGCCTCAATATTTCCAAGTGGGGTTAGGACCTGAGAATTGACCTAAAGATCAGCCCTGGTCACCAAGGGCTGTAGGGATGACTGCGCTGGTGGCCTGTGACTAGGATGGGAAACAGCGAGGAGGCAGACAACCTGAGCTATTAACTTTCTGCTGTCCGGAGGGTGCATCCATTTTTACTGTTTACATGTTGCCGCCATTTTGGATATTTAAAGTGACTGAGGGTACAGCCATTTTGAATGTTTAAAAGTGATGGCTATTTTGGATTTTGAAGTGACAGCATCGCATTCTCATTTGGATTACAGGGACTTATGAACAGACTATTTGCCAATATTGGCAGGGACATACAAGAGGCTGACAAAAAGGAAAGGACACAGGTGGTGAGCATACAAGTGCTGTCAACTAGTGAATAGAGGAGCACAGCACAGTACCCTGATAGCATACAAACAAAACAAAGAAAATGGAAATCATGGGCAAGTAACTCCAACATACAATCACCAATTAAATATAAACACAAAAACACCACAATGGGCAGCTAAGAAGTCTTTGGAGTTCCATCCCAAGAGGCCCTGGGGCCCGGAAGATCCAGACGAGGACGAAGAGGATGACAATGATGAAGACGAGAGTGGGTTCTCCCTGGAAGTAGTGTTAAGGCTCAGAGGCACCAAGCAAGATTACCTTATGCTGGCTGCTTTGGATGAGAATGAAGAATTGGTAGATGGAGGCAAAAAAAGAGCAATTGATGATCTTCAGCAAGGTGAATTGGAAGCATTTATTAAAAATCTTAGTTTGGCCAAGTATGCAAAAACTTTCTTAATTGAAGAAGATGGTCAACCATCTAAAAAAGAAAGTACCAGTAAAAAAGAAGCAAATGGATCTAATGTAGATAATAAAAAGCAAAATATAGCAGAAAGTGAAAGGACATCAATCAGTAAAATCAAAAGTAAGAAGAGACTGGAACAACTTCCTGAGAACAACAGCACCACATCGAGAGTAAAGAAAGATAAGCAACAGGACATTTTTGAATTTCTTGAGAGACAGACATTGTTACTGAAACCTGGAGGCAAATGGTATGATCTGGAATATAGCAATGAATATTCTTTGGAACCCCAGCCTCGGGATGTTGTTTCAGAGTATAAAACCTTGGCTCAGAAGTTGTATGAACATGAAATTAACTTATTCAAAAGTAAGACAAGTAATCAATAGGGAGGCTCTTCTACCTGGATGAAGGCAATAGTGTCATCGGGGACGCTAGCTGACAGGATGGCTGCCATGATTCTTCTTATTCAGGATGATGCTGTTCACACACTCCAGTTTGTAGAAACTCTCTTGAACCTCGTTAAAAAGAAGGGCAGCAAACAGCAGTGCCTCATGGCTCTGGATACTTTCAAAGAGTTACTCATTACAGACCTTTTGCCAGACAGTCGAAAGCTCCGTATTTTTAGCCAGCATCCTTTCCACAAACTTGAAGAGTTGTCCAGTGGCAACAAGGACTCAAGAGATAGAAGACTGATGATATGGTATTTTGAACACCAGCTGAAACACTTAGTGGCTGAATTTGTGCACATCTTGGAAACATTGAGTCATGACTCATTAGTCACCACTAAAACTCGGGCGCTTGTGGTGGCTCATGAGCTTCTTTGTAACAAACCCGAGGAAGAAAAGGCTCTTCTTGTGCAGGTGGTGAATAAACTGGGAGATCCTCAGAACAGAATAGCCACCAAAGCCTCCCATCTGTTAGAGACATTACTTTCTAAGCATCCCAATATGAAAGGAGTTGTATGTAGTGAAGTAGAAAGGCTACTGTTTCGCACAAATATCAGCCCCAAAGCTCAGTATTACGCAATTTGCTTTTTAAATCAAATGACCCTCTCCCATGAAGAAAGTGAATTGGCTAACAAATTAATAA